TAGGAAACACTATTTACTTAATTTATCTTTAGGAGAATAAATAATGTAATCTGTTTTTACTTGTATAATGTTCCTATTGGACATATTCACTAGTTTATACATTTACGTATATATTTTTTCTATATCGTACGTAAATCTAAACTGATATAAGCTAGCGTCAACTGTATAAAAAAAATAATTTTACACAATAAAATATTTTCGTTCCTCAGGAGTAAACAAAGAATTGTTTGCTCTGAGGAATGAGCAATTGAGGACAAGCGCTTTAAGCGAATTTCAATGTTTAACGAAGAACATGCTTTATTTTCATAATAAACGCGTTTTAAATGTTTCTTTTTCTACGAAATTTGTTCTTATCTTTAGTGTCAAAGACCTTTCGTCCAAATTAATTTTTAAAATTATTCTGTAAATTTGAATAATACAATGAAAATCGTCGCGGAAATAAACTCTCGCCGGTCTCAAGAAGTAGAATACGAAACTCTTTTGCTTTCAGTAGGGTTATAACACAATAAATTTTGTTTTTTCTTTTCTTTGATTTGCATAAAAAGCTTAAGTGGACAAGAGATGTTGAAAATCACCGCTTCAATCAGCAGTCTGTTGAGGGTAAACAAATACTTTATTATGCAATTGGTTAGATTAGCTAACTACTTTATTCTTAGAATTATTTCAAGTGTTCGTACACAGTATTATCCTTTATTTATCTCTATTAAATAGTACTAATTCAATTAAAATCTAAATGTTTTACAATATATATTTTAATCACAAAACACTGAGAAGGGATTATTTTATCCCATTTTCCAGTCTTTCTACTTCATCCATTCCTATAAGCCTCAGTGGAAGAAACAGAGTGATTGAGTGGTAAAACCAATGAACATTGGTAGTTGATTGCAGATTTGCGCCTCATTAACGGACTGGCCACGAGGAATTTTCTTCACGAGCCTAACACCTAAGAAGGGGTTAGTTTCTCATAGAAAGCCCTTCACGACATATCCTTTTGCCAATGTGTAGAGTGCTCTTATCTATTAATTCATATACAAATCTATTTCTATGAATTAAACATTATGTCGAACTTTGTGATGTATAATTTTTTTATATTATCATTGAACTATTTTCTGAAAAATTCACAGTACTGTACATTACCTAGCCATTACAAATTTTCATTATCTTGATGAACACTGTGCTTAGATGAGCTTTTCATATTTTTATTGTTAAAAGAATAATACAAATAATTTACATTTCAATTTTAATAAATTCAAATTATAATGTTTATAAATTTAAATATATACACGTAAATTCGAAACATTTTACAAGTACAGTATTTATAATTACATTTTATACTATATATTTTTATTTAAATATAATTTTAGGAAATATTCGACATTTTTTCCAAATGGTTTCGGCTATTGATGTTGCGGCGTTAGTGAATGGAGCTGTAATTATCGAATCATTCTTTTTCTTCAGGTAATTAATTTAGTCTTTTCGTTTTCTATCATTTCAGTAAATTTTATATAAAATTCTAGAAACTTGGTTTGTTTTAATTTGTAAGTTGCATAATTTGAAGTTTGTTTATAGCACAATAATGGCTAACTGTTGAACAAGGGAGTTTATAAGAACTGTTTGATCGTTGTATTTACACTCCGCGACAATATTCTCTGCAGTTTTTAATTGAATACACTGTAAAACAGAGTACAGTCGACCCCCCTATAACACTGTTGATTATTCCGTTTTATATGAATTCCATGTTGTACGAGTCACTTAGATTTTACAAATACGTGAGCCGTTCACAGCCCGGCACACGTATTTGTAAAATCTAAGTGACTCGTACAACATGGAATTCATATAAAACGGAATAATCAACAGTGTTATGGGGGTCGACTGTATAGGCCAGATAAGAAATTTAAGACTTTCGTTAGAACAATTTTACATAAAGTTGGAAATATCAATCGCTGCACCTGATTATAGATAATGCTGCTCTATACATAGAAGCACTCAAATACAAAAACATTTTCAGATTGTCTTCTAATACTGGAGAGTGTATCAATTGCATTTAATAGTTTATTTTCGGTACTGGAAAAGGTGAGAATGTAAACTGAAAATGGAAGTGTTTATTCTTAAATGTTGGTTATCCACATGAACGATTTCTTTCATTCGAGTGCCCACCATAATATTAATTTTTAAAAATATGAAACCGCGATCAAACAGGCCTTATAAACTCCGTTGTTCAACAGTTAGCCAATTGCTATTTCTTAAAAAATATGAATCTTATTTTCGTATACAACTCGAAATCTGGTATATTTTCGAGGACAATTATATATTAAATTTTCAATTGAACTTAAAGCAAAAACTTTAGTGCATTCGAAGTCTGTAAAATATAGTGTAAATCTATACGACAATGTGAAAGTTGTGACAAATGTTACAAATTTGAATAAGGGACAATGATAGTTCTATTATTTATCAGACTTAAACTGACTCCATCTGTCTGCTTACAGGAACTGCTGTTAAGAATTAAGACATAATACTTGTCTTTTTTCGAGATCAAGCACCACGCACTCCAGAATGAGCACTAAGATGTGAGTTTGATTAGGACCCAGCATTTCTCACAAACTTTATCCAATGTTTTAATCTTTAGAAACTTCTCCAGCTTTTATGAAATATTTCACAATTGTTTACGTAAAAACACACGTACTTTAAAAACACAGCAAATAAGAGTTGAGTGAACTTAGGTACTGTACAAATGGCATTAAACTATAATAAATAAAAATTAATTAAAAATTGAGCTACGCAATATTTTCTTTTTATTGAATAATATAAAATATTGTATACTGATTGCACGTTTCGCTTATTCTTATTAAAAACTCATTACTGCATTCAATTTTCTTATCCGTCTTATCATTGGTCGAGTGGATAAAACTCCCTTGTTGATCGTGGGTTCGCATATTGCCGCCTGGATGTTTTCGGAATTTTTTTTGTGTATGTAACACCTGAATAGGGGCTAGTCTGCCGTAGAAAGTCTTCGCGGAAGGCACTCTTTCTTGACAGATTGCGCTTGAGTTTTGTTGCCTGTACTTCAATCTCTTCAATATGCCAATTAAATTGACCCACTCTTTAATTATCTTAGTTTTGTGGTGTAACATTCAAATCACTTATTCATTAGGATATAATTTTAGATTTAAAAATAGACATAAATTTTAGATTTAAAAATAGACATATTTCTTTTATAGGAGTTAACCAAATATCAATAGAAGAACTGCAATATTTAAGTAAACAATATGCAGGCCACCTAAAATATATTTTCGATTCTGTTAAATTCTTATACACTATTACATTTCCTTCCTCTACTAATATAGATAGATTTTTACTGCATACGTTACAACTCACCAAATCAGGGTTTAAACGCTTTAAACACATTGAATTTTATTAAATCAGGATGCTAAAATATTAATTTTCTATTTCAGTCGATAATAATATATAAAGATAAAGGGTTTACTGGAATTTTTATAGGAATACTTTTATTATAATAAAAAAAAAGCAGGAACCTAAATTTTCTTTATAATATCATAGTAGAGAGGTTGCGGCCGAAGTTTTTATCTCTCAAACGTGAACGCCGAACGTCGAGTGCCGCTATCTTGTAAGCGGCGCTCACCTATCTTGTAAGCAACCTCGCTAATATCAGAACATAAAATAGGTAAGTTGAGAAACATAATGCAATTATTCAAATTTCTGAACCTATTCTTAAATACAGTAGACCACCCCATAATACGGTAGATACATTCCGTTATATCTGAATTCGTGTTTTACGAGTCACTTAAATACATGAAACAATCACAGCCCAGCACGTGAGCAGTTTACGGACTATGGCTGTTTGAAAGGTTTTCTTCCATAAAATTAATCGATTCTAGACTAATTTGACTCAATATTTCCAAAACACGTATAATTTCTTGGTAATAATCCATATAAACTATGCTATAAACAAAAAGATGTAGGATTACTTACCGTTTGACGACGCTATTGCTTAAGCTTGTTTTCATCGCCGAGTGGCGCATCGAATGGAGGGGGCGCGTTTCCTGATAAATTATTTTTCTGCGAAAAATTCGCTGAACTTTGGAGACATCATTAATATAAATATAATTTTTATGGCCGTTAAATAATAAATGGTTTTTAGTAGGTCCGCTGCTTGTTTAAACTCAACGGTTTGTGCAATATTCGCTATTGGCTAGTTTCGACCAATCCTGTCGCGACACGAGTCGGCGATGACGTTTTACCGTATGATATGAATCTCTTTTAGCGTGTTTATACGAATAGGATCGCAATTTTTTCGCAGTTATATACGAATCCATATTATATAAACTTGTTTTATTGGAGGTTTTCTGTAAGTAATTACGGTCAAACCTCGGTTTTCAAACTTAATTCGTTCCTAAAAGTTGTTCGAAATTAGATTTGTTCTAAAACCAAACAAATTTTTCGATAATAAACAATATGAAATGGATTAATCTGTTCCCGAATCCGAAAAAAAAGTCTTATTTTATCCTTTTATCATTATTTTATGTATAAAAATGCTTACATATGCATTCAATATTATAATATATAAAACTTGAAATTTCCATGTCAAGCATGACACAATTCTTTTTATTAAAAAGTAGTGACTGTAGATTTGAGAATAGTAGCGATTTCAAGAAGAGTTGCCAATATTTCAATAGATGAAATAGTTTTCCTTACCTGTTGTAACATAAAGATAAACAAAACAAAATTTCATCTGGATTGTACAAAAATTGCCAGAGTTATAAGGAATTCAATACTACTGAATTTCTTATCAATCCGGCAAGTATTAATTAATAAATAATAATAATATATTATTAAATTTTTATTATTTAATTTAAGTTAAGCACCTTTAAATGAGGATTCGTGTATGTCATATGTATTACGTGATTAACAGAATTGTTCGTAAACAGAGGCGTGCCAAACTTGAGAGTATAATATGTTTTCTATTTTCTACATAGCGGATTTCTATCACTTTACCTACGAAGAAATAATGTGAAGCATTCTATTTTCTACTATATTATGTTTGTTGTGAAGAGATTCATCAGGTTAGAAAAATCATTTGTTTTTACAGACTTATTTTATGGTTTAAAGATAAATTTTATTGCGTATTTCTTTAATTTTTATGTTTTAGATTAACGTTTCCAGTGCTATGTGCTTCGGCAATTGCTATTATATTACCAATTTTTTGTGATGGTCCCCATTCGCATTTTCTACAGGAACATGTAGGTGCAATTGAAGAGAATATATGGAAATACGTTTTACATATATCGAATTTCTATAAAATTCAACCATTGGTAAATGAAAATAAGCTTAAACTGAATATTATTCTTATGTCTAAGATAAATCAGTAATGTATAGTTTATCTTTCTTGCAGGTAATTCTCCACATGTGGATTATGAATGCAATATTCCAATTAAATATTATAACTGCACCCATATTATTTATACTTGACAGGTAAGAAAAACGAATTGATTATAATTCGAATGTATTGTCTTTTACACCGTATACAGTATGAATACAGGCCACTGGTGAGGAGATAAAAATATGATTGTTCGTTAGAAATAATTTTGTAAGTAGTTTTGTTCGACATTCATGAAAAAACGGCCGCAGTTTACATGTGGCCTTTATGAAGATTCGATTATATAACATATTTTGTAGTAATAACAGTGCTACATTTCGAAATGTTTCTAAATGAATAACTGAAATTCATATCTTTTTATCTGGATCGGAGTGATGGTATAACAGTAATACAGTTATACCATCAATCCGATGTTTACGAAATGTTTAATAACATAAGCCCAACGTATGGGTGATGTACCAAAGTGAGTTTTACCACGGAGGATTTTTATTACAAATTAACTCGATTTTGTGTTAGGAACGTGAAGAGAACCTAGGAAACTCCACTTGGGAGACATCATTTGGCAAATTGTATGTGGTGATAAGTGCTCATATACCTTCAATGCGATGTTTTCACGAATATTCTGTGGTGTTGGTCACATTGTCAGGTAAAGCGGCTTTAATACAAGTGGATAAGAAAACTAATGACATAGTCCGTTACAATTTGCAACGAACTGTGTAATTCGTTTACTTGTCCGGCTGTATTAAAGTCGCTTTAACAGGCAACACACTCATTGTTTACCGAAAATGATTTACCCACTGCAAAGAATCTAGAAAATTATAATTTAAAACGTTAATATTATATTACAGTATTATTTATTTACAGGTGGCAAACATTTGGAATTATAACGATGATCTTACTTAGTTTAATCGGATTTGCAATGAACATTGCAATTCTCATAATTTCTGATTGCTCGAACACATTTGGATATTCTTTGGACATAGAGTACGCTATTGTAATTAATAGTTTATTGTTAATTAATATTACAAATACTTACCTTAAAGTATCTTCATTTTTTAAGGAAAACATTGAGATATCTCGAACACATTCAATGCAAACCGTATACCATACATCTAAGTAGTTACTGCATGGGATTGCTGGTTGGATACCTTTTATCAGAAGGTAAAATCATGAGATTCGAAAAGGTGGGTGTATTTTTATTTTATGAATTATATCATGAAAACAATGTTTGAATTTCACACATTTATAAAATTGCCCACTAGTAGTTGTGTGGATAAATCTGATCTCTGGAAGTTCCAGTTGCTGATTCACACCGGAGTTGGCCATATCGAGATTTGGGTGTTTTCAGATTTTAACATGGCCAGTTTTTCATAAAAAGTCTTTTCGATTGACATAGATCAGATACATACTGATCTCTCATTGTTTAGAAGAGAACCAAAAACTAATTAGTATTGTTCAGTGGTTTTAATCACTTGGCCACTGGTTTTTAAAAAGTAATTAAGTGGTAAAAATGTATTTAGCTGAAATGTGGAGCTAGAATGAAAAGTACAGTAATACCCCGAACTTACGCGATAGGTGGGACCGAGCGGTAACCGCGTAAGTCGGGGTATAATTTCGCATATAAATAAATACAAATAATTTTTAATTGGGGCCGGAGACTAAAGAAAACAATAATTTAGAAAAAAATGTTTAATAAAATCTTAGATAACACATATGTATAACAAATTAGGCCTATATTATTTTAAAATTTTTTACATTTACTTGATTATTACGCCATAATTTTAACATTGTTTCCATCTCAGCGATAATACCATGACGTTTACGAATGATGCTCGAATTTAAAGAATGAGCATATTTCGCAGCTTCGAGAATTTTTTCTTTGCCTTTTATAATTGTTCTGACCGACAATTCCAATAGATCAAACTTCTTTCCCAATTCACAAATTTTCATTTTTGTATCGAAGTCTTTAATAACGGCTACGTTCGTAAAGTCAAGCGAGTTAAACGCGTTAGTAACGAATCGTTCGAAAAGTCTAACGAAATAGGAATAACGATGACTTCATTCTGGCTTAACTCGTTCGACTTTACGAACATACCCAATGTTAACTTTACATTCCAAAGATAAAGATTTTTTTTCTTGTTTGATGCAGAAGAATTAGTTCTACTTCGTTTGGATGACATAGTAGAGTCTCTCGAGTCTCCATAGATATAACAAACACAGAAATAAATAACACAAAATAAATTGTAGCTATGTGTGGATTCCGCGCGACACATCCGAACACATAAGCTAAACGATAGTGTGGGGGAGTGAGTAATCGAGGGTTGCGTGGCGCTCAAACAAAAGACGAATCGACGAGATTTGAAAATCGCGTAACTCCGGGTTCGCGTAAGTCGGGGTATCACTGTACTGTACAGTACATAAAACTAGAGTTAAATAGTAATATATTTATAATGAGTAGCTACATCAAAATAACTCTATTTCTGCAATATAAAAATTTTGGTGGAATTAATAGACGAAAATAACATAACACATGTACGATCTGCCAAGCCTGGTGCTTTCCATGAATACTTTTTAGTCTACGGGAAAGTAGCCCTTTTGTAGGTAGTAGTAACATAAGATAAAAATCCGAAAATCCCCAAAAGTGAGTAACATCACTGATATTATCTACTTTACAACTGGTGGGTAATAAATGTATTTAAATTTCTTTACAATTGGGTGCAATTTGAAAAAAATTGTAAGTTTCCACTGTCGCCTGTCTGTCCATCTGTCTTTTCTTAATCTCGAATATGGAGTTACATAGATGAAAGACGAGAACAGATATGGAAACCAATATATTTTCTCATAATAAATATTTCTCGTTTATTATGACATCGTCACAATGCCGAACTTCAATTTTTTAATCATACTTTTTAAATTTATTTAATTTAAAAAATATGCTCTCCACCCCAAATTAGTAGTGTCTTGCTCCTGTACATAATAGTTTTTCTGTTATCAACAGAGTAATACCGATTATCTATCTAACACCTGCTTTTTTCTCTTTTTTAATAATTTTTCTCATAATTGTAAGAAAGTTTAAATGTATATTTAATCTTTTATTTTAGAAAACCAGTTTCATATTTTGGATATGCTCAATTACATCAATGTTATTTTCAATATACGGGTTACACGGATATATAACGGAGGTATCGCAGAATGAAAGTATAGTTCTGTTGTTCAGAGCGTTTTCAACTTATCTATGGTTAACTGGCCAAATATGGATGTGCATTTCATTTACTAATGGAAGCGGAGGTAAGTAGCATTTAAATTTAATGCATAAGTTTTGTACATTAGTACAGAAGAGCCGTTGCGATTAAGTTATAAATTTAAAAATTTATTATTATTTAATATCAGACATAGATTTAATTAATTAATCAGTAACTTTTAACAGTTATAATATGATATGGAAATATTTATATTAAAAAACAGTAGAACGAAGATTATCAGCATAATATTTATTTTTTTACTAACGAATTATTTGTTGTTATTCCGTTGTGTAATTATTTCTTTTACTCAACTTACGATGCATGAAATTTCTTGAACAGCTTTTGTGTAAGTCTCATCGCCGAGTCATTAGTTCTTCGCATTAATACAGTCGATTCGGTTATTAGTCCTGCTGACACACTATTTTTTTAGAAAACTATACAAAAGAGACACGAATTTAGATATTTTTGGCTTTTCCATCCGTGACCTCCGTCTGTTTCCTTTATCAGCTGTCAATTATGGAAAGATAATCTTCCAATTTTTTAGATTGTACTGCAATGATTTTTTGTACAGAAATAATTTCTTGTCCTTAAAATGGTTTTATTGTGCTCAGATGTTTGTTTTATTAGTGAGAACACGCGTTGACATAGCTCTTTAATAATATAACTCGTTATATCGTACCTCAATTGCATAACTTATTGGGATGTTCGTTCAGTAGCCACGAAAAGCTCCGGTCCCGATGCCGTGCTTTTAAGCGGAATCGATTGTATTTCATAATTATAGTTTTGCTAGATGTACGAAAATTTATATTTGGTTTAGAACTTTAGATAGTACGAGAGTTTATTTTACGAGGTACATGTTCAGTTAGATCTCATATACATTAAACATACAAGATTTTTTCGATCGATGTAACAAGTTGATGCTTCAAATATTTTATATTTTTAAATAACGAACAATATTTTATTGTGACATTGTCACAATGCCGGGCTGCAATTTTTAATTTTCGTATTTTAAAATATACGCTCTTCACTTCAAATTAGTAGTGTACAGTACGAGGTACATGTTCAGTTAGATCTCATATACATTAAACATACAAGATTTTTTCGATCGATGTAACAAGTTGATGCTTCAAATATTTTATATTTTTAAATAACGAACAATATTTTATTGTGACATTGTCACAATGCCGGGCTGCAATTTTTAATTTTCGTATTTTAAAATATACGCTCTTCACTTCAAATTAGTAGTGTACAGTACAATATACTTTTCTGTTAGCAATGTCATGTCATGTCATCTATCTAACTCTTTCCAGAAAAAATTTTTGAATTGAAGTAAGGTATCGGAAGTTCTTGTACTGTTAATCGAAGCCTCCTGTATATTTCCATTCCATACTGGGTCTCGGATTTCGTCTAAGTTATTTCTCGAGATTAACCTAACCTAAGGAAAGACGGACAGACAGCAGATAGTGAGAAGTTATTAGTCTACAGTTTTTTTCAAATTGCAGCCCGATAAACATTTTCCTGATATACATTTGTCTTTCTTTCAATTTAATTTAATTCGCACTTGCTCGTGGACTCTGATGATTATTTCAAGATCATCAAATTTTTACTTATTTCCTTTTAATGGCATCATATTTCTTGATAACAGTATCTTCAAAAACACGATGCATGACATCTTCAGTCTGTACAATGTGTTTGTCTTTACAAATAGAACTGGTCACTGTGTTTTAAACCTTTATTAAAGTCATTAAATGAAAGCAGTGCTTTATACATGCAGATTGACAACACTAAAACTTGCCTATACACTCTCACCTGTTATATTATCTTGTTTTTGTTCTTAAGTGTAAGGAATTTTCTTGATTAGTATCAAAAGTTTATATAATATATTTTACTAATTCATTTTTATGTATTGTAGGTGCAGTTAAAAGGTTTTTGTCTCATGATGTATTTTTAATATTGGGTCGTCTAAATGTATCTCTCTATATAGTACATATCTTTATTATAGTATACATTATCACTTGCACTAGAAAACCTTTTTATCTTTCGATCATGACATTGGTAAGAAATTTATTTACTAAATATTCATAACAATTTGTGACAATACTATAATAAGATATTTTATACAATTTATAATACTATTTTTTATCATAATTTTCTAACATATTTACAGTACTTCCTCAGACTGAATTTTAATATACGGAGTGTTGAAGTTTTTCTTTATGTTTTCGATTGTAATCACTTAAATGCCTTTATCTAAAGCTCTCATTATCTGATTTTTGTAGAATTATAATCATGTTACCATTTAATTATGTAAGCCTTAGGGCATGTTCACACAGGCGACTTTTAGTCGCGTTACAAAAAAATCGTTTGTTGCTCGTGTGGTGGCTATGCGATGAATCGCATAGCCACCACACGAGCAATAAATATGTAATTGGGATTCAAAAATACCCAAAAGTTTTCAAATTTCTAATTTTCAGTATGAAAATACTGAAGTACTCGCGTGCATTTCATTTCTTCTTGCGTGGTTTCGTGATAGAATACAAAAGTGATATTGGGTTTATCCAATGGTAGTCTGGCAGCTACTAAATGAGCAGTTTTGTGAAATATGTCATTTTTTAAGAAATGAGAAACATTTCCATTATTTTCCTGGATAACGTAATTGTGACGCCACGTGAACACATTCCACTTAAATAAACATATGAGATTTGCACGGGGAGTTACGACAAAATAATCGCCTATTATTTTATAATGGTGTTTATTGATTGCAACAGTCATATAGCGACAGCGAATAAAATGGAACATATTGCACTTTTCTGTCTCGGCTACAAAACCAGTCGTTTGCATGGTCGATTCCGTTGAAGTACTGCATTTCTAATTTCAATGAGGATTTCTAGCAGTAACAAAGCTCTATAACTCAGAATGTTACTTTATTACTGCTACAAGTCAGTAACAAAGCTTCAGTAACTAAGTGACTTTCAATGACTTTGTTACTGAAAGGCTCTTAACTTCCATTTGTACTGTTAACGTTGGTTTAGTATGAAATACTTCTTCACTTTGAATTTCACATATTATATTATATTATCACATATTACATTTTAATAATAAATTAATTATAATTGCCTTTTTTTATTTTACAGAGGATGTTAAATATATTCATCACACTTATTTCTATCGTCGCATCCTTCGTTTTATATTTATTTCTAGAAGCGCCATTTAATTCTATTTTCAAAATGATATTTCACAAAAGAAATTCGAAAGAAACTTTAACACAAACGAATAACTATCAACTTCAAACAATGAAGAAGTACGAATAACTAATAATTGTTAAATTTAATTCGTTATAATTTTCATACTGTAATAAATTATACTTCTATAAAAATTAAATTGGATTTATTTATGAATAAAAATAAGAGAATACAAATATTAAATGTTGTCTAAAGAAACGATTTAATATTCACGGCTGTCGAAATGCAATGCATGGTGACATTTCGGGTCACGAAGAAAATATTTGAGTAAACACATGGTAAAAGCGCTCACCATAGTGGCACTTTTGGAGCTGCAAGCAACGAAACAAAGGAAACACTTAAAAATGTGGTTTATTGAGAGCATATTGGGAATTTGGCAAGAACTAAAGACAATCTCACGGTGAATGCGAGAAGAATCACAGAGAATGAATTACGTCGGCATAAAACACATTGGCATTTGGGTTTACATCTTCAGCATGGTGAACACATTGAGAAGTTCTGCATGGCTAAAATTTGTGTATAACATGAATGTCTTGAATGAATGTTTTGTTCTCTTAAATTAAATTCTTTCGTCCAATATTGAATCCTCTTGTAGGCCAACTTATGATATGCTTTTGATAGGCCAATTTTTTCAACGTTAAAACTGTGAATTAAGTTCGTTAATAAAGTATAAGAAGAATCTGTACATTTTGTTACCGCAGGAGTATTTTAATATCAGTAGTTAAAATCTAGTTGAGATGTTGTTTTTAGTGATCCTATTTATTTTTCATAATATCTCGAGGTTGTGTAAATTTTACGCTTCAGGATACTATTTTAAATCTAAAATCTTTATATTGTGTTTATTTATATTTTTGTAATATTGTTAGTCTATATGTCCAATAGTGTTAGTTCAGTTCAACATGTAAATATGCTTATTTAATATAATATGCTAGAGTACTTGGTATTAAGAGATTAGTCAATTGAAATGAATGTAATTATTTTCATGATATCAGTCATTTGAATTTTACATTTAGTCAGAGAATTTTAGCAATATAAAGGTATAAATTCATATATTATATATATAAGTAAATGTATAATTTTTAACAATTTAAACTTTATTACCATCTGGCGATATTATACATTTGGATTGAAATTATTTTACAAAGATGAGCCACTAAAATATAGCTGAAAATCTATTTTTATCAGCTTGCTTTTAGTTGCCTGGGGAAGCCCAAACTACAGGGGTAACGTTTGAAACTTTTTTGTCTGAATTTTTAAAGAAAGTTTCTGCGATAGATTTTGACGATTTTGGTGCAAAATTACTCAGTATAATCTTGTTCTTTGCATGAATTACATTTTGGGAAATATAATTAAATGTGAGATAAGATATATTTAAAAAACGAAAGTGCTGACTTTTGCCTATTTGATACTTAAAAAAGTATATTGACATTTCTGGGTGTTGTTTTCTGAAATATAAAGCCAGACAGTTGCATGACAGTTTTTCATGGTTTGGTGAATTTCGGTTGAACAACGGAAAAGTAAGCTCAGTTCTAAAAAAAAAGGAACCAGAATCCCCACTAGATTGCGCCACGTTATTTAGCTTTTCAATTGCCTAGCTGTAATAACGGGAAGCTTCTGGAACAATGCGGATTTTGTCATTTCTTTCAAAATGTGGACTTTTTGATTTCATGTTTGTACTGAAATACAGTCGGTTTCGTTTAATTGGACCACCAATTAATTGGGGAAGCTTTTTTATTAGGCCAAATTTCAAAGAATGTAAACCAAATTAATAAATTAATACATAATTTAAAAGCGTAATTAGGACAGTAGAAGAAAAGGAATTTAGCAATTTCTGATATATTTTATAGATCTTCCAAAAATATGTCAACTCTACATACACTAATGTTGTGTAGGCCTAACAATTGACAGAGAGACAAAGCAATTTTCTCTCTCGCTCGGGTGGTTCGGTTTTTCCGGAGGGGGTCAGCATAACGGGAGGTATCACATCAGGATTTTACTCTTTATTAAGCACAAATAACAAAAATATATTTTAAGCTCTTAGTTTCCACTGGTGGGATTCGTTTCTTGTCAAAACAAAAACATTTGTACAAACATATTTGGTGTTTACTGTTTTATAATTATTTTATTTAAAAATAAATATTAAATTTACGTAAAAACAGATCTATATTAGTCTGAGGTGAACCTGAATGCAAGCTACTGATCTTGCTCTGAATTGTACTGGCTCAATTCCTTCCTCTCATCCAATCCAAAATTTTTAATTTTTATGTAACTACAGGTAACCCCCGTATAACACGGGAGTTACGTTCCAAAAATTGCCATGTTATGCGAATCCGTGTTATACGAAACAAAGAATTAGTGCGAAAAGGGGGGTTAGGTTCCAAAAATTAAGAAACATGCTGTTAATTAAATCCTTATTTAAATCGAATTTATTATTCATTTTTTTCATAGGTAAAATACTTATTTATTATTTAAGTAAATATTTTACCAGAGGATTATTCATCCTATATGATGATCTCAGCATGAGCATCATCAACTGGTAACAGTTTTTGGGTGTGTTCGTTAATAGTGGTCACTCTGCAACGGGAGTGCGCTGCTGTTTGTAGGCATTTAGGAACGACGGTGAAAGAAAGATGGCGGCGCCCGCACTATCGAGAGTATCGCGATAGAGGAATCTATAATTCTAAAACGAGCTTTTAGAGGTAAAAGGAGGGTCCCAATTGTAAAATTAAACCATTAAATGAATTATTTGTTGAAAGAGCATTCGAAGTAGCCACGAAAACAATTAGAATGCTCGCGCGGAGTTACGCGGAAGTATAAAAGAACGCACCCTTTATTACATTTTATGTTGTACGAGGGTTTTACCCAATTCCCGAACCGTGATTGAGTGAACCCGTGCTATAAAACCACCGTGTTATACGGGGGATGTTCCCAATTCTCTAACAGTGTTAGAGTGAATCCGTGTTATAGAAGTGCCGTGTTATACGGGGGTTACCTGTATATCGAATGTGTTTTTAGTTGTGTCAAGCGATTCAGGAACGTTATGTTTCAGACGCAGTTCCCTTAGTCCAGACTGGACAAAACCTCAAATGTTTTAAACTAAAGACTCTAATTTATTATAGGAGACAGTTTCCCACAAAAATTCCTCCTCGCAAGCATCCCCAACGGCAGATAGACCGTCAGTGATGTTGAAACTTTCATTAGGCTGCATTTTGAAAAAAATTGTAGACGTATAAATTCCCACTGTCATACCCTGTCTGTCTGTCAGTCCGTTTGCCTGTCTGTTCGGTATTCCTTAATCTCGAGAAAGGACAAAGACAGATAGAATATAAGGCCAGACATGGAAATTATAGCGCTGGGAAGACCCGATTAACTACATATTTTCGCCGCTACAAACCGAAAGTCACCTTATTGTAATTAAATATTTCCCCCGAAAAATGTTAGATAGATGGATGACAGGCGCGACTATATTGTAAAGGAAAACTATTATTTACAGGAACAAGCTACTACTAATTTCAGGTGGAAAACATATACTTTTTATGGAAAAATAAAGAGAGAATGGTCATCCAAAATTTGGCCATTACATTATGATATTCAATGGAGTTATGAAAATCTGCAAGATACTACAAGAGATAAATTCTTACAGCCAAATGTTCCCTTTTCCACTTAAATTTAACTAAGTAGATTTCTCGAACGTGCAAAATATGAACTGAATTTCCCCTTTAGATTAAGGTAACATCACTGACAGGCTATCTGCCGATGGGGAATGCTTGCGAGGAAAACTTTTTGTGGGTAACTGTCTTCTATTTGCGTTAGAAACGTAAAGAAAACTGGAAATACTTCCCGTTGCCAGCCAGTTGTCATTTATGTACCCATGAACTATGTGCAGGACTTATATTTTCTCGAATATTGGAGGTCATCTGGAAGATATTTCCAATCATTTCCATGATTGCAACAGAATGAAAAAACAGAAACAATGAAGCCAGAATAAATCAAATATTTTGGCAGAGGAAGCAATAAATATTATTTACGAAAATTATATTTCAAGATTTCTTTCATTCGTCGATATGACATTGTTTGTACTGTGTGAATAAGTACAGTTTACGATTTCTAAAACATAAATAGCAAATTATACTAGAAATGTTATTTTATAAATAAAACACATGTTTACTTTGTTGATTGAAAAGTACAAAATAATATAAGTCGTATATAACAAGTTAAGACATTAACTTTATCATGTGCAACATGTAAATTTTCGAAAATTTTAAGAGTGAGAATGTAGGAATAACTCGTGTTATGCATTTTTTAAATTTTAAACATAAAATATTTTAAATTTAGCTAAATAAATAAAGTTTAATGTATGACTTTAAATTACCATCCTTTACTTATCAAAAATGTACATTATAAATATTAATATAAGATACAAATATTAGATGACAGGCCCGTGTAAAAATATGCAAATATTTATAATCTAAAATACGCATTACTTAAATTATTACAAAAATATATTAAGATTTAATTTTCTCAAAGGCTTTATATAAATTAAGGTTTTTAGTGAAGATCGTATTTTAAAGATAAGGCACCAAAGGCAGTAAAAATTGTATTGTATTTTCTCGAACTCGAATATAAAGTGTACATTACTTGTTAACATTCTGAAATTATTTTTAGAATTTACATATTTATGAATTTTTTACCGATCCCATTGCTTTTAATTTGATTTTATATTTAAAAAATTGTATACTTTTTATAATTATTTAATACGATTTTCATATTTTCATAATTACGAATATTAATTTTATATTTTCTTCTTAATTATAACATTAACATGTATTCAACTCTGCGATTGAATACTTACAAAATGAATATTATCTTGGGTTTTGCTCACTCATTACAAAAAATCTCTGTTGATTTCTTGTGAATGATTTGATTCTATTCTGAATCACTTATTAATTTCTAACAATTACTAAAAACAGTTTATATCTCACCTAATCTGGCCATTTTCTTTTTTATACATCTGATTAGGCCTTCTCTCCTAACCTTACAATTAAAAATGATGCAATTGGTATTAATTATCAATAAGGTACGCTTTAACTAGATGTTGTTTACAGCAACTTCTTTCGCAATTCTTCCATGTTTAATTATTTATTATAAATATTATCTATAAAAAATTTTCGTGCTCGTAAAAAATATTTCATCTTAAAAACACAATCGAGAGAATTTGTAGTTACAAGTAAAATGTAATTGTAAATTGCTTAAAATTATTTACAATTTACAAATGTTAAATCTCCCACGCTGTTGCGTGTTATGAAATCAATAAAGTAAATTGTCGAAAGGTGAAAGTTAACACCACCGGGTTTCTTCTCACTTGCACTTGTAACACCAATCAGTACGGGTGTATTACCATTCTCTAGGGATATAAGAGGACCACCAGAATCACCCTAAAATTAAAAAGATTACATGTAATAATGCTTGTAGCACAAACCACAGAAACGGGAATGGATAATCGTAACAACAAATGGAAGAGTATAAGTTCTCAGTGATATGATAAATGTCTTTTTGGTCAGCCCAAAAATTACTCAGTGATTGCTCTGCAAAGCAACTCTTGAGTCTGCTGTTGCATGAAATGTCTATTAATTCCTTTTGGTCAGAGATGGGAAGGTGGTCGGTGGAGTTATTCGCAACAGCTACAAAAATTTTCAAAATTAATTTCGCGAAAACAAATTGTGTTAATTGTACAATTTTTGTTTCTTGAGAAAAAGAATTTCATTTAGGTATTGTAGCAAATGCATTTTTTTATTAAATTTCGAAAATATTTTTAATTATAAATAAACGAATTTGTGCATTCGACATCATGTTGTAAATTGTCGAATTTTTGATGGTCCACCCATTATTTTTTTATTGCTTCATCTCATGCATTTAAATTTGAAATCGACCGATTTTAGATTGCCGTGCGTACCCCTTCATGCAATTTCGCTTACCCCTATGGGTACGCGTATCACTAATTGGGAACCATTAATTTAGATAACCGGAACCACGAATACAAAGAAAACATTCTATAAATTTTAATAAACGAAATAAATATATATAGAAGGCTTAATGATACACATACCAGTACAGTTAATTGCTACGACCGACCCACTGAGTTTCAAGGCACTTCAGTATACGAAACACGGTCGTTATTATTGGCACACACAATGCTGCGACAATGTAGAAATTCCAACTCTATATCCAATTTATCATCCGAAACAGTGAACAGACAAGACAGCTAATAAAAAACAGAGCGGATAGTGACAAAGTCGGGTAGAAGAGTGTTGGCTCACGTGGTCCCGATAGACAAACAGAATCTGTGAATTACACTGGAGTACTTTCCATTTCTTTTTCTAACTCCTCTCTAGCCAAAATTTTCGATACCATCAGGTTGTTATTACTACTAGTGTAATTACTGATCCCGATTTCCAAATCGCGAAATACAACAGAAATTAAGAGTTCGATCATCTCGGTATCTCGATACCATAGTCGGAGAACACGTTGTCTCTTGAGTAGGAATGCTCTATCGTTGTCGTTCTATCTGCGCTATTCCTCACACTTCTAAAATCGCCGCTAAAACCATCTCTTATTCATTGTATTTTACATATATATATCCTACACGGACCAATCGATGGTCGGGATCCTCGTGATGGATTCAGAGTCTTTTCTTTTGAAGAACACACATAAGGTCTTGTGTTACCTGGTCAACCACTAAAAAATGAAAACAGACAAAGGAAGTAGTAACGGAAATGGAAAGAAAACAATGGAACTAGACGAAGCATCAATCCAAATAAACATGAATATAGTCCTGACGACAAAAAAAAAAAAAAAAAAAAAAAAAACAGAAAAATAACTATAAACCGGAAAACTATTTTACAATGTATACAGGTTTGTACTTACTATCATTGTGGAAACACCTTGTTTACGTGTGAGAATTAGTGATTTGGATTCGTACATCGGATTTCCTTTGTAGGGAGTGTCGCTAACTTTGATGACATTGACATCAGCCGCGTGGAGATAATGTGTCGTATCTTGCATACCTTCAGACATGAAATTTACAATTATAATATAGTCGTTATTAAATTTACAAATAATTCAATACAGTTCAATTTTAAAAAAAGTGTAAATATAATATATACTGTTAGCTGCTCAAAAAATATTGCAAATAACTTTCAATCACTAACAAGGGGCATGTACCGAATACCGGGTAGCTGAAAGAATAAAAGTTCCATTCTCTCTGTTTGGGAAGACCAAGTTCAAGATAATGTAACAGAAATTTTTATAAGTGAGTCTACCTCGTTTATGATGAGATCCATCCACTACTACCCACTTGTTTCCGTTGTGGTGCTAAGTGAACAAATTGTGAGACAAGCAGAGGGCCAGAAGGACGATCACTAATGACCACTTACACTGCACAGGTTGTTAAAACCCGATCTCTGAGTCGGTGGATAACTTAGGAGGGCAAAAAGTGAGTGGGGAGGTCGCGAGCACATGGACAGGTGTCTTCACGGGTAAATGCTCGACAGGTTAACAAATAAACCATTTATCGATTAACTAAAATTAACACACAAAATTCGGTCACAAGTCTATTTGACTAAACGCTACTCGATTAAATGCGGTTAAATGCGATAAAAATGCAACTCGGGAAAAAGAGTTCACAAAGTTTTAACAAATACATATATGTGCACGTGGTAAGATTGGAGAGGATGGTTCAAGTATGGCGGTCGTATTCTTCTCCGACGAGTTTCCGTACCTGAATATGGAAATCGACGACACAAGTACAGAAATAACTTCCTTGCGTTGATCCGCCCCATGTTTCTGGTAGCGAGAGCTTTTATAGTGTTAGTGGGGAAAGCCGTCCGTTTGTTGACGATGACGTGCATTTCATGACAGCTAAGTGTTAACTTTTTCACCTAACTGTTAATAGTTAAAGGAGCCCTCTGCTCTGATACTCCGCGAGGAATTTTATTTTAAAGGGATGTTTACAAAATTTCGATCAACGAAAAAAATGGAAAGTTTCTTTTCATTTACAAAATTCGCGATTTAAAAACCGCGGTCTCACAATATATATAGAACTGTACGTATAAAAAATCGACGCTTGTAGGGTTAAGGGTACTAAAATCTACTAGCAATATTCGATAGATTTATTGGAAACCGGTGAACGTTTTTAAACTGTTTCGATTAATTTTGACGAAGCATAGCCTCTAAAATCTTCTAATATGTAACGGTAATCATAAGCACAACCGAAGATAGTTAATTAACTTCTAGTTTACTTCAATGATACGGAGGAAAATGAAGTCAAATATAAGGCTACTAGAAAACTGCAAACCGGTACATTCTCTCTGTCGTTCGTCTAACCTTTAATCTCGAGAACGGAGATAGATGAAAGCCAAGACCAAATGTGGAAAGCTTAATGGCAGTAAGTCCCGATTAATGATATAAGAACGCCCGGTTTCCACCGAAAAGCCATTAGATCCAATCAAAGTTTTTTTCCTGAAATAAGTTAGATAAACGACTGGCACGACTCTGATTTTAAAGGAAAAGTATGGAGTACAGGGGCAAGCCACCACTAATTTGAAATGGATAGCATATTTTAAGTTTATTAAATTAAAAATGTGATTAAAAATTGCATCCCGGCATGTGACGATGTCACAATAAATAATTTTTCGTTAGCATAAAAGCCTATATTTTCATAATACGTTTTTGGAACTTCAAAGAATGAGTAAAACTCCACATATTTTCGCTTTTTTGCACCAATATATCTTATATTTTTAAATATTATTCAAAATTTAATGTGTATTTACCTGTACCAGTTCTTCCCCATCCAATTATCAATGTTCTAGATGAAGGGCAATCTCTATTTTTGTGCGGAAGAGCGATCGGATGTACAAACGAAGGAAGAACAGAAGTGGCGACTTTAGAAACAACGTCTTTTATTATTAAGAGGGCGATATCGTAATGAAATAAGTCTCCAACAAAGTTCGGATGTTGAACTTTTTTCGTAAAATACACTTTCCTTCCAAAGTATTTATCTTTGTGTCCTACTGTCCCGTACAATCCTTCAATTGTGTAGCTATAATATATAAAGATTGCAATGACACATAAGAATGTTTTACTAAAATATATCGTATTGTAAATAGGTACATTTCATTTTTGTATAGTATTTATAAGATTAAATTGCTTCAAATTTTTAAAAGCATTGCTCATTCGTTTTAATAAATTGTGCAATGCATACTTAGTTACAACATGAGCAACTCCTAGTGCAGTTCTCGTTGTTATCAATGTGAATGTTGCTAGAAAATCGCCAGAAAAGCGTCCTTGGATTCTTTGATTGAAAATGGCAATCTAAAATAAAAATGTTATTTACTTTATTTCGTACACAGTTTGTTATAAAGAATATAATTATTGAAAATTTTTTTCGATAGCCAAAAGGATGAAAAAGTTAAAAAGTAAACCCACATCTCTGGGTGAATTTATTTCGGAGGAATTAACAGAGAATTTCCAGGAGTGACATTAGATATTTTGAGTCCGCTTTCTCATTATTCAGCCCTCCCATTGTTGGCACGGTCGAACCCATTATAAGTATGATTAATTGATGATTAAGTGGTGCCCAAAGACCAGAAAAAAGTCATAACTAAAAAAGAATTTAGTTTACCATGTATGGATAATCCTCAATTTCAACTCGCTTACCACCAATCATTCTTCGTACAATTCCTGCAAATATCATTAAATAATCAAAAATAATTATCATTTTTCATTAATAAACTGTATTTTTAACTCACTCGGTTTATTTTCACTCTCCTCTGCTTTTCCACTCCAACAAAGAATTATAACGAATAAAAAAATCATATTTAAATTCCGATTGAACATTCTGTAACATAACATACGCAATATTATGTAAATAAAATAATATCAGTAATCCATATTAATAAGTAAAGAGGAATATTCAAATACACGTCTCCACACCATTTTTGATAAATATTCATGTTTATGCTATAGAACTTGATAAATAAAACGAAGAATACGAATAACAACCTAAAATTAAATGTTTTTTCTATTGAAATCTTTATTACGTCAAAATATTTCACAAATTATATTTGTTTATGAAGACATTCCTGTTATCATCGTTACTAAGTAAATTGTATTTAAAGAATTTTGTAAAAGATAGTTGCAATTAACTAAGATATTTCAATTTAAATCGATTAATATTTACTTTTTAACAATATTATTTTGTACATTACTTAATTATGGCGGTATTTAAATCCTTTGCAACGTGTTTTAATTAAGCTCCTATATATTTCTTTTCGTTATCAAATCTCATGTTGAAGTGTAATTACTGTGTCGAAATTATTACTTAATTTTTATAATGGTAATTTGAAGATAATTTCTATATCTTAAACGAATATATTTATATTTAATCGAGAAATTAATGTGGTTATATGTAATTTATATTTCGCTGTTTCCTGTAGCAAATAAAAAGTTAAGACGGAGTAAAATACCTTTAGACGAATTTTAAAATGTTTGTTAAATTATTTTTATAGTAGTTAAATTATAATGAAGTGGTTTTATGTTTAACTATTGTCTTGTATGAACAATTTATAATTATAGTGTAAATTCGATTAGATATTCCGGTTATTGCTCTTCATAATCATCTAGGCTATGCCGCGTCATGATCTTGCATAGTAGAATCCATGAGTATCAAATAATCATAAATTCCGTTACTCATGTGAGTAGTTTCAACGATTTCGACAATCTGAATTCTGGAAATCCCAGTGTCAAACACACGGACTAATATTGAGATCTCTCGAGGCAGAATTCTTTCCGTCTCGAAAGATTTCAAAGCAGATAGTTACCATATATAGAAGTGAATGACAGCGACCACGAGAGAAGTAAAATGCCATTCATGCCCCTGAAACGTGTTAAGATTAGAAACTGATCTATAAACTTTACAGATGTCACAGTGGTTACCTATTTTCAACGATGATTTATATAGGAAAAGGTACCGTTTTCAGCGACAAATATATAAAATGTCATAAGTATTACTGCCAGTAATCGAACCACTTTTGGAAAAAGAATATTGTCTCACAGCCAACTACTTGTAATATTATATACTGTATTCCACAACCTAGGGGCTTTTCTCATTTAGCGTAAGACATGCATCAACTGAACTATTCGATTGAATAGCAAAGAAAGAGCACTGAATAATCGATAAACTGAACCGCTAATTTGTGGCTGTAAAAGGTGGAAAAGTAACTGTAATGAAATGGCACGAAAAAATACATTGGTATGTACAGTAAAGAAAAATTATTACGAAGAATGTAGTGAGAAAAATCATTTAGTACAGTGGAATCCCGGTTAACGAACGTAATCTGTTTCACGAGTCCGTTCGTTAACCGAAGCAATTTTTCCCATAGAAATTAATGCAAATACAATTAATCCGTTCTAGACGTCAGTATTTTTGTGATTTTATTTGCAAAATGGGTTTTATTTAATGAAAATATAGGAAAACGTGCTCATAAACAGTCGATCTAGGTTAAATTTTCGGAAAAGAGGAAAGATTTCACGGGTATAAAAACATCACATACGGTCGTTAAAGTTCTAAAATAACAGATAGCAAAAACAATAGGCTAAATTATGAGCGAAAGGCTTATAGGTTTATCAACAATTTCTGATCAGAGTCGACGAACAGGTGTCAAATAAACGCCTCGGAACAAACCTTTCTCGTGACCTGATCTGGTTTCGGTTTTCACCTGAAGAAAAAGAAGAAAACAATAGGGAAGCGAGGAATGGGGCGCAGGACTAATCGTAAGGTGAAATTCAAGGAAGAAATACTATAAAAACCCCGAATCTCAAGGTCAAAACGCAGTTTTCCTAAACATTCTATGGCGATTAATCTGTGTCGTCTTCATCTGGATTAAGCCTGAAGTCGTGCCCGCTAAAATTTGTGTTGTGTCTCGCGGACCGCTCCAGTCGTTGCAGCTCTGTCACCTACCATCGCTTCTGTGACCAAGCGAACCCATCTCGTCCGCTCTGGGGCTACGACTGATCAGCTTGCACTATCGTAGGACCAGCGATACGCCACTCCTCAGTGCCGAGAGAAAATACTGTAGATAAGCCATTTCCAACTACCTCAAATATGTAAGCATCTTCCCGTTCTAATAAACGATTTTCACTGTAAAATACTTGTCATCTTTGTCTCTTCCGCCACACCAACGTACGAATGGACCCTAGACCATCACCGACACACGATTAACTGATTTTCCCTAAAAGTCGGCAAGCTTACAAATTTGACACAAAAAGCCGTTAAGTTCGTAATCCAAGACAAAATTTTTCCAAAATAAAAGTTCGTTAACCAGGACGTTCGTTAACCGGGGTTCCACTGTATTTAAAGTCTTATCGACACATTGATGCTACTTTCTCCTATTAATAAAATGATAAATAAATGAAGTCAACGAAAAACTTACTCAACCGAACGACTGATAGAAAAACACGTTACTAATTTTCTTCCACCAATAGCAAAATCAATCGACAGCAAGAGGCATACTGCAGTATACTGCAAAGAAGACACAGTAAATTGAAGAAAAGAAGTCTCGTTACTTCTCTGAACCACGTAATGTTTGTGCTGCACAATGCTTTGTTATTTATCACAGGCAAGAAATTATTTGAATTATTTATATTTTTGACATTGAAATAAAAATTAGGAAAAATGCTTCGGAAAATCGAGGTTCTTCTGCATATGGGCTTATAGAGGGAAAGATATATGGAATAAACTGTGGCAGTCGTGCCAGGAAAGAGATGAGCAGTGACAGATCAAAAAGCAACGTTTACAAACAAAAGTTACATTTAATGAGATAACGAGGCTATGTCCCAAACACCTGATTATTATCAGTATCAAATTTTTAAAATATGCTGTACTCTCTCACTGTTATACAATCTTCCAACTTACAATAATTGTGTTGTAGAGCCGCACAAACAAAAAAGTAAATTGCCAGAAGAGACTTGATATCAAAAAAATTTTTTAGAGGAATCATAGTTTCAGGAGTATTACCAATGCAGTAGTTTTCTGTTCGTAGAGTATCCCAGACTTATCTGTACTTGTCCAAGCCCCATAATGAAAAAAGTTCTGTTAAATTATTTCGATTTAAATTACGTTATATGAACATTCAGAGGATTAATGATAAAAATGTATTGTGTCTTTTTCAGTGTCAGCATATTTTACAAAAGTGTCACTTTACATTCTACAGATGTACTGTTGCCTTCCTCTACATTTATCGATAAAAAATTATTGATGGTTTTCGTTGATTTACTGGTATGTTTTGGAGTTTGTAAACTGTTTGGAGATGACGAGTCCTTGGCGAGATTAAAAATAATCTTACTTGCAGAATGTATATTTCAGTTTGAATAATTGAATTTCATGTAGCATGTAAACAGGGATGGTGGAATGTTTCTTTTATAACGTTATGCAGCGAAATCAGAAAAAATTCTAAATTTTTAATTATTTTACACTTAAAAGTATAAACAAAATATAAAATTGCAACGTTTAACAAAGAAAATACTTTGCTTCTGTTTGTATCACTAAACTTGTTAATTTCTTCCGTTCAAAATTTCAGATCAACAAACTTAAAATCATGACAAAATGTGTTTATAATCAAAGGAGTTTAAATAAAATAAAATAAAAAGGAGTTTTCTAAATTAAAAGGTATAAGAATTAAAACAAATGTCTACTATTAATTAATTCCATGATACGTTATGATAATAAGTTAAGTTTAATATAATGAAAATATAAAAAGAATATTACCTGAAGAAAAATTCAATATTTTCGAAATACTATTTGTAAAATTTATATTTAGAAACTCGTACTGATTGCCAATATAGCTTTGTAATATACTGTTTTAGGTGTTGTTTTCAATACGCATGACAGTTTATACTAGGATTATTAGTTTAAGTATTAAACATGAGTATAGCACTTTATATGTTTATTATAAATACGGCATTTAATTTCATTTAAACAGTTATAGATCGAAAACTTCAAAATTATATACGTAATATATCGTTAAGTTAAAATTTATGTTCGTCATCAATTATAATTGTCCACTGCAAGACATATGGTCTTCAACGACTTCTATCCCGAGTTTTCTGCATCCCCTTCACCTTCATTTTCTTCTCTTTTTCTTCTGTGTATCTCACGCTTGGCCATCTAGATAGTGTTCTTGATTGTGGAATCCATTCTGTGTGGGCGAGTGGTCTACGTTGCCACTCATCGTAGTGGTGACCAGACCCTAAAGACTGGGAGGTTCGTCGTGGGTTCGCGCCACGGTCGGACAGGCTGGCTGCTTGGAGTTTTCCGGGTTTTCTCCTTGCGTATAACGACTGAATAGGAGGCCAGTTCCCCATAAAAGTCCTCCCGGAAGGCATTTATTTCCCGCGGGTACGTATGGCTGTTCGATACAGCCGGCTAATCGGTCGCCTAGCGATCATACATATACACAAGTCGACTCGGAGAAAGAGCCTACATTGAGCTACAATCTTCATATAAACACCATCGAAGAAGAAGAAAGAAAGAAAGAATCCATTCTGTGTTTCTCTACTTCTTAAAGCTTCATAAACCATTCTGTTGAATGGTTTATGAAGCTTTTAGTATTTTTATCCTATTTTAAAACTAGCTTATATTGTTGAATTAATAATCATGCAGTTGCCACTGCTTGCACACGAGACCATTGTCATAATAAAAAGTTAAAAAAATTCACCAACAAAATTATTTACTTTACGATTTACAAGAGAACAAAATTGACTCCTTAAGTACCGTTTTTGTATGGAATTTGCGTTCAAAAAACGTCGGTTTTTTATATTTTTTTATAACAAATGTTTATCTATATTTAAAAGAAAATCCTAATTTTTGCGAAATAAATATTTCTTCAAAACGCATATTTATAGAAAGATTACTTTAAAAATTTAAAATAAATGCTTTTACACAAAATTATACACAAAAATTTGAATTATTTTTATATTTTTTATAAACAAAATCTCGAAAACAAAAATATCTGAGTACAAAAAATGTGTAAACGTAAACTAAGAACAACAGATTTTATTTCATGATCGGTTTTAATACTTGATCTATTTAAATTTACATTCCAGTTTAAATATAAATCAAAATCATCTTCTATATAAAAATAAATAATCCTCATTTCTCAGGTGATAATTACACATAAGCTGATAAATTAAGGATGATTCGAAAATGTGTAAAACAGAAAAAGAAATCTTCCGTTTCAGCTGTATTTCTCTTATTCTACACACTACAAATGTGTAGAATAAGAGAAATTATTCTACACTATTATCGCCATTATATTATATTATATAGCCATTATTTAATCTGATTTCGGTTTAGTATGGTCCTGATACTAGTTGCTCTCAAGTCATCAAATGCCTGGCGATAAATTTCTAAGTTTTTGCATGCATCTAACAACTAAATAGGGAGTAGTTTCTCATAGAAAGTCTTTCCAAGCAGCATCTCCGTGAAAATTAAACAACTTTAATTTTGCGTTATTCCATTAATCCAACTTAATTTATTTGTTTTACTGTTAATGTAAAATATCACTTAGCAATTTGAATAACTTTTGTATAATATTTCCCATATTAAAAAACTTCTGTTATATGCGAATATCGTTGTTTCATAACTTAATTAAATGTACTTTCATTTCATATGTTCAACATGTATATTTTTAATTTTAATTTCTGTATATATAATTATAATTGAAAAATATATATTACACACTAATTTTTAATAAACGAATGAACAAAATGTCAGGTAACTGAATGTTGCCCCTTCTTAATGAGTTGTGCAAATTAAGATAAAAATTCCGTAGACTAATGTAATAGAGTTTCTGAAAACGTTGGGTGTTTCACTTTGTTTTTTGTTCCTAAAAATTCATTTTATTACCACAATAAATTTCTAAGTTTATTTTGAACTTGTTTAATTAATAAATTTAAAATACTTATATACTTGAAATTCAAAAATGAATAACATTAAGTTATTATCATATTCTTTCGCCAAAAATTTACATTTTTTTTTTTAGATGATAAAGTTTAATTTGGGAAGGAGTAGGAAGTAGCTGGAAGAATACAAAAAGGATGACAATCATATAGAAAATACACAAGAGAAGTACGACTGTTAAATAACACAGGAAAAGTATGGCGATCGGTTAATAAATGACTTTCCAAAATTTATACAATTCGAGATTCAGAGTACTTTGCAACATCGAGAAATGAAAAAATAGTTTGGGAAATTTCTATATATATGGATGTTAATGAGTGTTGAGCACTCATTAACATCCATATATATAGCAAACTTGCTTTCTATTTAAAAATTGGGGGAGAAATTTCGATTTTGTCATGTACTGCAAGAAAATAAATGAGATTTTTATAAAAATAAAAGTTTTCTTAATACAAACATGTTCATTTTCTAGTGCATCACAAATCCTGTACATTCAATAAAAGGGCAGCGAATTGTAATAAAAAAGAAAAATAAAGAAGAATAGTGAAAAAATAACTTTTCTAGGTTTTTACTCTTTTGGACTAGCAAAGCCTTGAAACGTAGAGAAGTTGGATAATATTCGAGGTTTTTTTCCTGTGTGCAGGAATGTTTGAATGTGTGGGGGGAACACGTTTAGTTCAACCACTTTGAAGCATAATAACTCCTGTGTTAAACATCCGAATCCGATTCAAAACCCACAGAAGTTGTTGCGCTTGAAACATGGTGAACAAAAAACTGTGCCTTACACATTAAGTGAAACATCCACAAACAGAAAATTCCGAATTTTTTGCAATTTTCGACGTGTCATGAGTCCAAAAATGAAAAACATCTTGGTCATCATTCCTCGCCATACTTTTCCTCTGTTATATATAATGAAGCTAAAAAAAACTAAAAAAAGGATGATGGCATCAATATGACGCCAAAGTTGTTCGGTATATATAAAAAGCTTTACTATTTGTATTTGTAGTAGGAGGAAATTTAAAATTAACATTATTGCATGGAGTAAAAGAGTCAATACACCAGATTGGACGGTTACATTTACAACTATAGTTTCCTAATAAAAAAAAAATGGTAATTTCACTTACACATTTAATGGGCAATGAGTACCTCCATCTTTAATATTTCCTACAGAATATATCTATTATGCAAATTCAATCAACGCTTTTTTCTGAAGTAGGATGAAAACGATACAGCACAATTCTTGGTTTTATTAAGTTTGTACGTAAAGAATTATTTCTCAAGGAAATAAAAATGGTACTACTGCACGAAGAAAGTGTCGTATAGCTTTCATATAAATTGTATGCCCCATATAATAACGAATGGGATATTCGTAGAAGACAACACATGGATTCCAAGATCAGGAATAACAATTTCTAGACGACTAAGCATCAGATACACAGATGAAAAGCAAAAGAAACTGAGAGTGAACTGGATGAAGAAATTTCAGGCTATAAGTTATTGAAAACTCATATGTCCCACAGAGGACAATAACGATTTATGACGAAGATAAATGTTAACTTAACAATATATTACGTATATAATTTTAAAGTTTTCGATGTATAAATATTCAGATGAAACTATGCGCCGTATGTTATAATATAATAAAGATTGCTTGATAATAATAATAACAATAATAATAAGCGCAGAGCCCAAACAGTTAGAAGTTGAAAGTTGAAAATTCAGTATAGTTAGGGTACGCCATGCAAATGCACACTAAAAAGAGACTTTTGGAAATTCTTTCCGGCCAGGAAGAAGGAGAGAGAGAGAGTTAACGATTACCCTGAAGAACTCGGCTTCTACTGTAATATTTTAGATGCGGGTTTTTTGCGATTTTGTTGAAACGGAACACATTTTTAGACTCGTCTAAATATTTTGTAATTAGCCTGGGAATAGTGGGACGTAATTCTTTCACCCGGTGAAAACGGGTAAAATCGGAAATGAACTAATAATCTTAATCTTCGCTATCCTTACTTTTTGCCCGAGAAACGCCGAGCTCATCTGCTAGTTTATAATATTTTTTCTAATACTAGCTAATATTATAGCTAGTTTATCATATTTTATTTGTAAACTGATAATCTAAGTATCAATTACCATCCGTATTTTGAAAATTGAAAACAATATCTAACACAGTATATAACAAAGCGATATTGACAATCAGTACAAGTTTCTAAATATAATTTTAACAAATAATATTTTCGAACTATGGTGGTAAAGGTGGATAGATGGAGTCACGGAAAATCTTCAAGACTTCGGAATCGAAGATTGGCAGAGGCAGGCTATAAACCGAACAGGATGGAGAAGAATTATAACTGAGGCTAAGAGCCTCCAAGGCCTATAAAACCAGACAAAGAAGTTTATATTCACTATAGCCTCAAAAATCTTGAAAACAATTTATGTTTATTTAAAACTAAAATCATGTCAAAACAACAAACAAAAGAGTTTATAAAATTTTCAAACACATTTGATAAGAAACTGTGAAATTGTTTACAATTATACAAATGTTATTTTTCCTTCGCAATTCTCTTTTATAAAGTCAAGAAAAAAACTCGTCGAAACAAAAACGTTTATCCCGCCGGGTATCCCCTGACTTGTACTTAATATTCCAATTTGAACTCGTCTTCCATCACTTTCCTGGTATATAAGGGCACCACCAGAATCACCCTAGAATGAAATAGTTTACGTTTTAAGTTCGTCTGCATTAAAGTTTATAAGTTACGCAAGTTTGTACTTACTGGCATCGTGGAAACACCATCTTTCTGTGTAAGAATTGTTGATTCAGTCAAATAAAGCGGATTGCCTTTATAAATTGTATCGCTAGCGTTAACTATACGAACTGAAGCCGTTCTTAAGTACCGTGTTGTGTCGTTCCACTCTTCATACATATAAAATTTACAATTAGATTATAGTTATTGTTAGTGTTATATAATTTAATATTATTGAAATTCGTTAATAATTAAGAAATAATATATTCTTTTATCTTTTTAAGATATATTTTAAACTATTTGATTAGTGTAATTTTTAAAGTAATACTCAATTGTAAGTTAATATCATACTAAATAGAAAAATATCCATTAAAATTTCTTTTGTCAAGTCTAATTTATCTTACATATGTGGAAGAGATCTGTTATATTTTAAGTTTTATTCACTTTTTACTAAAAATTAACTAAATATATCCGAACAGTGAAAAACTAGTATCCGTATAGAAAAAGGCATCCCATATTTTAATCTGTTCTGTGACGAAAGAAAATGAATTTAATCTCTATCAACATGTATAATATTAGCCAAATTTAACTCAATAAATATAAAGTTACGTCAATAGTGAAAATATAACTTAAGCATTTGCTACGAAATATTGTTACAGCGGAGGATTTACTAACTCGGGTTCAGAACAGAAACAATATACTTTGCATAATTTACTTAAAGTAGTTAGATTTATTTGAAAAAAAAAAAACATTCTGAAGTTGGGGCAGCTGATTCCTGATTCTTCTCTAATTCCACTGATACCACATTCTTTTTAATGTTCGAATAAATTTGTTTATCGGCATAAAATCGTAACTTGACAACTGTGTCACATCCACAACAGAACCGGTACAAAAATTGAATGGAAGAACATGAATTATAAAAATTATTAAAATGTAAGAACAATGAGGCCGGAAATTTCAATTTAAAAAATTTATTTAAAAAATACGTGAAAAAATACGTCGTAACAGGTAGAAGAATTTCCTCGTTTTTTTTTTTTTACAAATTATTTAAAGAATGAATAATAAAAAATATTAAGAAAAATTTTCAAGAAACTGTTTTATATTTTGACTTTTCTTACTGTTTCTTTTATTCTGAAACGTTTAGTAAAAAGATATTTATATACTTTTTCACAGTATTTTCTCGGAATTCAATTTAGTGAAAAGTGGTAATATTATTTCAGTTTATTTTTTTAAAAAAAGTTGTCTTAGTTAAAAATATTTTGAAAAATTCACCATTTACTAACTTTTTCCGGTATTCCCCCATCCAGCCGTTACTGCCGTTCCCGAATAAAATTCTATATTCGTACGTGGTAGAGCGATTGTTTGTACATATGGGGGAACAAGAGGACTGCTCGATAAAGAAACGGCGCTGTTTAGTATTAAAAGTCCTATGTCGAAAAGAAATGTTGTACCAACAAAATGCGGATGTGCAATTAACTTTTTAAAATGGACTTTTTTCCCAAGGAATTTATCTTTGTGACCAATTATCCCATAAAACTGTTCAGGTTTCTTTCTATAATATAAACATATTAATATTACAAATAAAAATAATGAATATATCGAAATATGATCTAAATATATAACGATATTTTTGTAAAATATATTATAGTATTAATAATTACATTTTTATTTATGTATATATAAAAAAATTACTTAAAATCATACTTAAATAGTATGTGAGCACATCCTAATGCAGTTTTCGATGTTATCAATGTGAAAGTTCCACCAAAATAGCCATAATCTTGTATTGAATCTCCTTTAAAATATAATGCCATCTAAAAACAAAATATATTTGTTTTAATTATTTCATAAGTGTAATGCATATAATAATTAATACAAATACTTCACCATGAATGGATAATCCTGAATTTCAACTTCCTTACCACCAATCATCCTTCGTGCAATTCCTGCAAATGCCATGAAATGGTGAGAATTAATAAACATTTGTTATTAAGAAATAATACTTATTTACTCACCCCGTTCATTTCCATTATTTTCTGCATTTCCATTGCAAAACAGAATTGCAAGCAATATAAATATTTGTAAATTTCGGTTAAAAACCCTGTAAAGAAAATTGGCATTAATTTATGTTGTCATAATAAAATTGTATATGTATGCACATATATATTTCAACAAGGCCCACTTTATAAGAGTATTCATGTTGCTAATGACACCAATTGAGAAAAAGTACGATGAATACAAATGATAACCTTAAATTATACTATAAAATCTCTTTTATATAGCTTAAAATTTGTTTAAATCGTAACTTCATTTCAATATTTCCAAATATAAATTTTATTTCAGGTGTAATTTCTGTATCAGAGTGACTTTCAAAAATGCACTGAAAACAATATCGTAAAAAATATTTGAAATTCATTTGTAAAAAATCCTGATGTAGATTAATTATTAATTTTAAAATGAAATTAAGTTGTAACATTTATGTTTTTTAACGATGTTTTACTTTATATTATATATATTGTGGCGTTAAGTCTTTTAAATATTTGCTTTCATCTTTACGACTCCTGTATAATTACAAAATTATTAAGTTTCATAACATTAAATTTTATGAAATTTTGAAATTATTAACAACTTAAAATAAGTATTTTATGAATAGAGAAAAATATCGTTTAAAAGTTCGAAAAATAAGCCCTTGGTCACATGATTCTTCATTTATTTGAATGAAAACGAATACAGTTTTAAATAAAACTGTATTCGTTTACAACACTAGACAGTGGACACAGTAAAAATCAAAGTTTATCATAAAATATATAAAAATTAATGTAGTCCTTAATTTGAGGTTCTTCGCTGGATCCTGCGCAGCCACACCTGTTTGGTTTAGAATAGTTCTTTTGAAACTAAGTGATATGGCTACTGAGGGCGTTTAAATTGTCCAATGGGGCTTTAGGCATGATAGGATGGCCCCTGTGTACACAGAACGCGGCATTACTATTAACAGTCACAACGAAGGGGGCGATGATCCAAGAAAGTTCGAGAAGTACTGCTCTATATCAACATATTCATGACTACCCCATAATATGGAAAAAGGGAAAAACACTACGTGAAACTATTTTTTCATTTATTATATACTGTATTTGCATATTGAATGCATATGTGCTGTAGCCTATACAAAATATATGGTGTTAAAAATCATTTAGTATTTCAGAAGTCTCATCGACACTTTGATAAAATTTTATCAATCCATCAATTACTGAACCAATACGACTGATAAAGATAAACTTTACTTCTTTCATTTCATCAATAGCAAAGGCAGCCGACATCAAGAGACACGCAGTAGGCCTATATTGCGAAGAAGGAGACATTAAATGGAAAAGGAGAAGTCTCATTAATTTTCTGAACTGTGTAATGTTCTTTGTGCTACACCATGGTTTTATATTTATCACAGGTAAAAAAATTATTTTTATTTTTGACTTCAATGTCAAAAATAAAAATAATGTTTTTACCTGTGATGGTAAAAAAAATGTTTCGATTTTCCGAAGCATTTTTGTTGTTTATGGATTTCAATATCCATAAACAACAAAAATGCTTCGGAAAATCGAGGATCTTCTGCATATGGGCTTATAGGACGACAGATATTTGAAATAAAATGTGACAGTCGTGCCAAGGAAGAGACGAACAGTGAACGATTACAAAGCCAAGCTTGCAGGCAAAAGTTAGATCTAATAAGATAAACGATGCCATGTCCCAAACACCTGATCACTATTAGGATCACATTTCCAACATATGCTATATTCCAGACAATTATACAACTTTCCAACTTACAATAATTGTCCTGTAGAGCCGCACAAACAAAAAAGTAAGTAGCCATAAGAGACTTGATATCAAAAACGTTTTTTCAGAGGAATCATTTTTTATTGTATAATATTCAGTTGTATTGAGAAGGTAATATTTTACTGTTCGTAGTATCCCAATTTATCTATACTTGTACAAGCACAATGATGGGAGAAGCTGTGTTAAATTATTTTGATTTTTATAAATCTCTCCATGCAAAACATTCAGAGGTATGAACGGTTTTTTCAGTGTCAGCAGAGAAGTGTCACTTGTTTACATTTTAGAGGTGTTATGTAGCTTTCCTATAATTTGATCGATAAGAAGGTATTGAAGAGTTTTGTGTTAAGTTGTTTGATTTACTGGTATGTATTTACTCAGTTTGTGAAATTACTGGAGATGACGAGTCTATGGAGGGATTAAAAAAATCTCAGTTGAAAAATGTAGATTTCAGCTTGACTGATTGCAGTTGATTTTCCGTGTAAATAGGAATAATGGTATGTGTTTTAAATAACATTATGTAGCGAAATCGAAAAAAGAGCAATCTTTAATTAAACTTGTTATCTTCTTCAATTCAAAATTTCAGATCAATAAACTTAAAATTATGACTAAAAAGTTTATAATCAAAAAAGTTTAAATATACCTCTCTATACTAAAACGCATAAGAATGTATAAGAATAAAATATCTGCAATTAATAAGTTTCATGATACGTTATGATTATAATTTAATTTTAAAATATAGAAAATATTTAAAAAATATCACCTGAAGAAAAAGTCCATAGTTCGAAAATATTATTTCTTAAATTATATTTAGAAACTCGTACTGATCGTCAATATCGCTTTGTTATATACTGTGTTAGATATTGTTTACAATTTTCAAAATACGGATGGTAATTGATACTTAGATTATCAGTTTACAAATAAAATATGATAAACTAGCTATAATATTAGCTAATATTAAAAAAAAAAATACTATAAACTAGCAGATGAGCTCGGCATTTCTCGGACAAAAAGTAATGATAGCGAAGATTAAGATTATTAGTTCATTTCCGATTTTACCCGTTTTCACCGGGTAAAAGAATTACGTCCCACTATTCCGAGACTAATTACAAAATATTTAGACGAGTCTAAAAATGTGTTCCGTTTCCACAAAATCGCAAAAAACCCCGCATCTAAAATATTACAGTAGAAGCCGAGTTCTTCAGGGTAATCGTTAACTCTCTCTCTCTCCTTCTTCCTGGCCGGAAAGAATTTCCAAAAGTCTCTTTTTAGTGTGCATTTGCATGGCGTACCCTAACTATACTGAATTTTCAACTTTCAACTTCTAACTGTTTGGGCTCTGCGCTTATTGTTATTGTTATTATTATTATCAATCAATCTTTATAATAATAATAATACTGTAATAATCTTTATTAGCATAAAAGAAAGTGTCTCTGTTGCAAGGGGTTATACAAAGAGATATTATAAATTCTTTAACAATATTTACATAATATACAGGATATTAGTATTAAACAATTTGATAGTTATATATTATTTACATTAACAGTCAGATGTACAATGTTGGTAATGTTTAATATACTGGCGTAGATTTACAACATTTTTGTGATTTTAGTGAAAAAGTTATACAGACTGTAGAGATCTTTTTTATTCAGACTATTTAAAGTATTTCTATAATCTTGAGATGAGTCATTTTGGAGTATTCGGGAGATGTTAAAAGTTTCACATATTTTTGAAAGACTTTGACATTTTTGAAATAAGTGATCAGTTGAAAAGTTATTGGTTTTACACCATGGACAAAGATTGTTTGACAGGTCAATATAAGTATTATTAATATATAACGAGTATTTGTTTAAGCGTAATTGTGCAATCAGTCTTTTCACATTAAAGTTAATTGAATTTATCATATAAGGTTGTGTTGAAGGTATTTGTAATATTTTTGGGTACCAAGGGTGGTAGGTATTTTGATTTAAACTATTTTGATCCATATTTATAGAATGGTCAATCGCTGATTGCATTAACATAGTATAACCAAACTTCCAGTCTTGAATGTCATCTTTGAATAGTAAGTCAGATATTCCAAAGGAATTTAGTATTTTATTTAGTTTGGATTGCCAGAGGTGCACTGTGGTTGATTTCTTACTACATCTGATTAATTCTTGATGTAAAAAATTAATATTACTGTCACATTTGAATTTTAGTCGGTAATAAAATTTTATTATACGTTTCATAAACAAAGGAAAAGAGCATATACGCATGGGCGTAGCCAGAGTTTTGTTAGGGGGGCCTAGTGGAGGCCAACCTGACACAAAATTGAATTATTTCAAATTATTGTTCATTATTGGGCACCGAGCAAGCCGTTCACCTTTTTTTAGTATTCAAAACTTTTATTTTAGCTTTAGGTTTTTACAAATCGACTCAACACTTTTTCGGCTGTGATTTCCTGGGGAGGGCACCAGGTTCCCTGGGAGGGGCCGTGCCCACCCAGGCCCCCCTCGCTACGCCCATGCATATACGATTGGTTTCATGGCGAATTGCGTATCCTGGGACAGTTCTTTCCAGATGAAGTAATTTGCGGAGAAAATAAACATGGAAGGTTTCTAATTTATATAAATAATCGAGACCCCAGACTGGGGATGCATAATATATGATTGGATTAATTATTGAGTTATATAATTTCATATGCAATGATAAGTTGGAGGTTTTTAAATTCGAATATAAGTTTAGTAAATTATCTATAGCAGTTTTTACTTTGTTGTTTAAGTACGAAACATGTGCTTTAAACGTATGATTCCAATCAAAAATAACACCCAGGAAATTGTTTTCGTTTACCACCTGTAACAACTGTTTGTCCAGATATATCATTGATTCTTTTTTAGAGATTTTACTATTATTGCGGAATATAAGTACTTTAGTTTTAATAGGGTTTATTGTTAAGTGAATTGTATTTAGATAAGAGTTTAGATGATTAATTTTTCTTTGTAATGCTATCTTCGTTGGAGCGAAAATTGCTAAGTCATCTGCGTATAACACGTAGTGGAAGGTCCTATTATTTAGTTCTATTCCATCAGCACAGTCTTGGAAGATTTGGTCGATTTCAGATAAATAAAAGTTGAACAGGTATGGTGAAAGAGGGTCACCTTGGAGTACTCCACGTGATATTACTAGTGATGGTGAAACGGAGTTGCCCTGTTTGATTTTGACATTATAAGTTGAGAATAATTTAGATATTGTAGATGCAAATTGATTTCCAGCTCCTTTCATTTTTAATTTATATACCAGTAGTGGAACAAAGACAGAGTCAAATGCTTTTTGAATATCTATAAATGCAACATATACTTTCCTATGTTTTTTGTTCAAATGGAGTTGTATTATGGATGATAGTAAAAAAATAGCTGGTTCTGTTCCTTTATTTTTTAAGAAGGCATATTGAAATTGAGCATCGATATCTATTAATTTGGTCCAATATTGAAATCTTGCAGCTAATAATGAGGCAAAACACTTTCTTATGGTTGATAATAATGCTATCGGTCTATAGTTATTTGGGGAAAGTCTATCACCTTTTTTATGTATCATTGCAAGTATTACTGAACTCCAGGAATCTGGATAATTGATTGCTTTGTACATGCAGTTAACCAGGTGTAATAATTTCATTCTTGCTTGAGTTGATAACATTTTTAAGAATCTGAATGGTATAAGATCATTTCCTGGTGATGTATTATTGCGAGTTTTATTTATAGTATCTTCAAGTTCTTTAATTGTAAAATTTGCGATAAGACATTCATTGTTAAAGTCACAGTTAGGTGTTACTGTCGGTATAACTTTTATCAAGCATTCTTTATTATATTATAACATACGGCGCATAGTTTCATCTGAATATTTATACATCGAAAACTTTAAAATTATATGCGTAATATATTGTTAAGTTAACATTTATCTTCGTCATAAACCGTTAGTGTCCTGTGTAGGACATATGAGTTTTCAATAACTTATATCCTGAAATTTCTTCATCCAGTTCACTCTCAGTTTCTTTTGCTTTTCATCTGTGTATCTCATGCTTAGTCGTCTAGAGATTGTTATTCCTGATCTCGGAATTCATTCTGTTATTCTCTTCTTTTGTCTGTAACTCTTCCCATACATCTGAACTAGACCAACGATATTTTCTTTCTGTAATCCATTGTTTAATCCTAGTTCGTTTTCTTATTTGTTTAATTTTCATCTTATCCATTACGGTGAGTATAAAGATACGTTGTATTATTTAGGACAGACAATTCAGTTCGAAAAAGATAACATTTAAGAATAGACTTTAATTTTATTTATATATTCAAATTATCTTTTGATATTTTAAGTTGTATCCTTTTAATTTAAATCTATAAAAATAAAACCATTTGCAATAACAACAATACAATTCACTGTATATATTAATTTTGTAAATAATAACTACGGATATTTGGGTGTTCTTATTTACTGTTACACTAGGGAAAGAGGAAGAATGAAATAAAAGTATATTTAAGAAATGAAACAATAATATTCACCTATATCCAGGGCTTGAGTATCGAAAGTTTTCTTAATATGGCAATTACATAACAGTTATTTAAATTTACAAGTCATATTTTACATTAAGGGTAAAACAAATGAATTAAATTGGATTGNTCCGAACAGTGAAAAACTAGTATCCGTATAGAAAAAGGCATCCCATATTTTAATCTGTTCTGTGACGAAAGAAAATGAATTTAATCTCTATCAACATGTATAATATTAGCCAAATTTAACTCAATAAATATAAAGTTACGTCAATAGTGAAAATATAACTTAAGCATTTGCTACGAAATATTGTTACAGCGGAGGATTTACTAACTCGGGTTCAGAACAGAAACAATATACTTTGCATAATTTACTTAAAGTAGTTAGATTTATTTGAAAAAAAAAAACATTCTGAAGTTGGGGCAGCTGATTCCTGATTCTTCTCTAATTCCACTGATACCACATTCTTTTTAATGTTCGAATAAATTTGTTTATCGGCATAAAATCGTAACTTGACAACTGTGTCACATCCACAACAGAACCGGTACAAAAATTGAATGGAAGAACATGAATTATAAAAATTATTAAAATGTAAGAACAATGAGGCCGGAAATTTCAATTTAAAAAAGNTTTCATCTGTGTATCTCATGCTTAGTCGTCTAGAGATTGTTATTCCTGATCTCGGAATTCATTCTGTTATTCTCTTCTTTTGTCTGTAACTCTTCCCATACATCTGAACTAGACCAACGATATTTTCTTTCTGTAATCCATTGTTTAATCCTAGTTCGTTTTCTTATTTGTTTAATTTTCATCTTATCCATTACGGTGAGTATAAAGATACGTTGTATTATTTAGGACAGACAATTCAGTTCGAAAAAGATAACATTTAAGAATAGACTTTAATTTTATTTATATATTCAAATTATCTTTTGATATTTTAAGTTGTATCCTTTTAATTTAAATCTATAAAAATAAAACCATTTGCAATAACAACAATACAATTCACTGTATATATTAATTTTGTAAATAATAACTACGGATATTTGGGTGTTCTTATTTACTGTTACACTAGGGAAAGAGGAAGAATGAAATAAAAGTATATTTAAGAAATGAAACAATAATATTCACCTATATCCAGGGCTTGAGTATCGAAAGTTTTCTTAATATGGCAATTACATAACAGTTATTTAAATTTACAAGTCATATTTTACATTAAGGGTAAAACAAATGGATTAAATTGGATTGATGAAATGAATTACAGTTAAAGACTTTTTTTTATGAGAAACTGGGTTTTATTTAAC